GTCGATCGAACAGCGAGCAGCTGTAGAGCAATACAAGCAGCAACTACGTGATTATGAGGAACGAGATAGGGGCAGGGGTTATGTCCACGAAGATCTTCAAGATCTGTCATTTGGGTCTCTCGGTAACGAAGAGGGAAAACTGCCCCCACCCATGAGACCAACAGCACGACATAACACTTCAGCAGGCTCGGAGTGGGATCAGGGGAGGGGAAGTCTCTCTGATTTCAGCGACTACGAGAGCGAGGAAGAGGAACAACAGAGATATGTTGCAACCCCCCCCGCGACGTCTTCGAGCTCGCGACATTCAGAAAGAATCGTGGATGACGAAGACCCATTCGCGGATCCGTTTGCGGATTGATATCGAGGTATATCTAGAGGAGCGATCGCCGTGCGTAGGCAATATATCTTATGTACATATAGCCAATTTTTCGGCTGTTTGGTGTAATAACAGGTCCAGCCGGATTCTCGCTGGAATTACATGATGATACTAGGATGAATTTGGGATGAATTATACTGCATTAGAAAAGTATTAGAGGTTTGGTACACGAGTGGTGCTATTCCCGCCTCGGGAACAAACACATGCGAAATCCACTGGACATCGTCCTATCTTACAGTACAGTACAGTCTGCAAGGATGGAAACAGAAAACCGAGATCTGGGTTTTCAACCACTTTCTATACCGCTATCCATCTCATTGTTCACTACTTGTTCACCATTTTGAGGGGATGCACCGTTCATTTGCTGTTGGTGTTGGCGAACATCTTGATGGGACTGCTGATGTTGATGCTGATGAGGAGCCATCGCGCCTCCATGCATACTCGGGCCAAGAACTCCAAAGCCTGGCCCCCCTACTACGCCCATCGGGCTTTCCAAGTACAGTCGGATGAGAACGCTTTCAAGAGCAACAACAGTAGGCCCTGGGTAATCGAACGCTCGAGCATGTTCACGAATGGAGTTAAATAAAATGCTCATGCGATCCCACAGTTCTTGTTGAGATGGTGAACCCTGAGGAGGTACGATGTGAGGATATCCCATTGCCGGGGGTCCAGGGAAAGCAGGGAACGGATGAGGTAGATGGGTAAGTGGAGGATTTGAAGGATAGCTTTGAACCTGTGTTTGAGACGAAGTAGAGGAACCCTCCTGCTGTGAAGGAGCAGGGGCTGCAGATGTAGCTTGTATGGTACGCTTTGCCTCCTCCTTTTCTGCCAGGACTGTTTGTCGTCTACCGCGACGGGTGAAGGGCAGGTTTGCCAGTCCAATTGGATGAGAATGCTCAGCAATATCTACAGAAAACTGTCAGGAAAGAAGATTACTTTCCCTCCCATCGTACGAATACTCACAACATACTCGAACCTCATCGGTGTCGTAATAAGTCTTGTAGCTGATGGATGCCAAACACCCCTGACCTTCAAGCTGACAGGGAATGCGTGAGTGAACACACTATAAATTGTGGCGTGCTGCTAGTACGAACCTTCCTGCTGGGCACCTTGCGAACGCGCTCAGGGTGTTTCTTCACATACTTTTTGCGACCGCTCCTGGAATGTCGGGCGCAAACAAGTTTGGTGTGGTCCTTGAAACGGGGAGGAACTGCTTTGCTGCCGTGAGTATCGCCTTTCACGAATTCAACCATCTGAGTTTCTTCCTCTTGAACTCTCCATTCTTGAAAGGCAGCGAGGTTGGGAAATATAAGAGTATATCCATCGTCACTGTCGCCACAACCATAAGGTGACCTTGCGGTGGTCGACTTGGGGGGTGCTGGAGTGGCGAGGCTCGAAGGCGCAGCAGGGGTAGAAGTTGACGACGGGGGATTTTGTGAGTAAGGTTGCTGCTGATTCTGTTGCAAATGTGGAGGCAAAGGCTGGGACATGGCCAGTTGCCCGAGCCTGAAATGCTGGAAACTCATTTTTGACAAGGATTCCGAACAAAAAACGGTTGGGATGAAAGCAAAAAGGTGGAAAACTGTTCCCGCGTGTGACAACTTTATACATGTAATGTCACGTAACATTTTGGTCACGCACTTTCCTTTTTCCAATGACCTCCTCCCTCAGAAATTCGCTGCATAGGCGCAATCATAAAGAGCGTTCGCAGCTCTCTCATCGTGCGAAGTTTGGAATTTTAGAAAAGCATAAGGACTATGTCCAGCGTGCACGAGATTACCACTCCAAACAGGATCGTCTGACGCGCCTTAGGCAGAAGGCAGCGGACAGGAATAAGGATGAGTTCTACTTTGGAATGAACAAGGAGCGGACGGTGCAGGGGGTTCATGTTAAGGATAGAGGAAATGTTTCTATGCCTGTGGATATGGTTAAGCTCCTGAAGACACAAGATGAGGGCTATGTTCGCACAATGAGAGCCAACGGACTCAAGGTATGCATTCCATGTATATCATGTATCAATCAATCAACTCATTCCTTGACAGAAAATCGAGAAGATTAAGAGCCAACTTACTGCTTTGGCCAATCTTATTACCCCGCAGGATGATAACCTAGAGGACGATGATGAGGACGCACTGGATGCAACCGACCTGGAAACACTTCGAGAAGCAGGTGTCATACCCCCAGAAACAAAACGGCGTCCGCCTCCGCGTCATATTATCTTTGCTGAGAACGAGACGGAAGGTGAGTGTATCTGTGACGCTGTATTGTTCATGGCACGACGACATAACGCTGTAGCAAAACAATTATCTCAGCGGCCATCTTCAAATCGAGTCAAAGCTACGACTGAAGTAGACGTCGGAAGAGTTGAAGTTGACCTCGGCTGGAAGACTGAGGAAAGTGCATCGTCTCGACGAAGACGGAAGAGCAAATCCTCAGCTGGTGCATCGATGGATATTGTTGGGGATGCTGAAGAAACACAACAACTCAATGTGGTATGCACACATTTTCATGTTGTCGTCCGCTTCCTGAGAATTTTCACTCAGCAAAACCGCAAGCGACTCCTGAAAGAACTCGCTGCACGACTAAAACGTGACACTCAGTTACGGTATACACAGCGTGAGCTAGAGATGCAGAGACTTTTGGCTGGTAAAGGAGGTCGACGGAAGCTGCATGGTGTTGAAGAAGTAGGGGCTGAGAACGACGATGATGACGAGGACGAAATGGACGATGGGGCAGCTTCCAAGGCAAGAAGTAAAGCGGATGAGAAGACTTACAAACCTCGAGTCTACAAGTGGCGTATAGAAAGAAAGCGATAATATTGTCCAAGTCCATGACAATCAAGTCCATGACCATCCATTGCGTATGTAGTCCGACGAATATAGTATGAGTATATGATACGAATCCAGTCCCAGATCCAGATAACCGCTTGATATACTATCCGAGTAGTGGATATGTGTGACCAACGTCAGATGACAGATTAAAAAATGCAGGAGGCGCCTAGCGCTGCGCCGGCAATAACCACCCAAACGGAGCTCCACTGATTGAAGTTCGACCGGCCGGAGCTCAATGAGCTTACAGTCGGTGAGGAGCCTGAACTTGTTCCCGATCCAGATTGCGGTATAGGGGTCGCAATGGGCGTGGTAGGGGAATAGGTGACACCGTTAGCGGTGGCAGCGACTTCAAAGACAGATCCACCGCCGTACTCGTAGAACTGGGAAACATGAGAAGAAAATCCACCAAACAATTAGATGTACATACGTCAACGAGCATGAAGTTCGGATTTCTGCCCTGTTGGCTAACACATAGACTAAACTGCTGGCCTAGTGAATTTGTACCGGATACAGCATTGGTTTGATTGGCCTGGCTTAGGTCCGGAGCAGGTTGACCAAGGACCAGAGTGTCCAAAAAGTGGTTGATGAGGTACATAGATGTAGCGGTGTTGCTGTTAGACCGGTTCACATTGCAGTCAAATGACGTGGTAACGTCATATGCGGTTTCCCAGATATTAGTGAATTCTGGGCAAGTATCAAGCAGAGCCTCCACAGATACGAATGTGCACACACCGTCAATGATATAAGGAACGGAGGTGAAGTCAGCTTCGTAGTCCATGAAAGTTATCAACCGCTTTCCTGAATCGATGAGGCTGCCAAGGGTCGGCCAGCTGCTTTCAGACAGTGACGAGGAGGATGGCGAATAGGATATTGTGTCAAGCCCGACCGATTTAAAGACAGTGTCATAATTAGTTGGCGGAAGATCGTCGTAGTTGACGATGAGTAATGAGAGCACTGGACAAGGCATGTTGAGAAATGCCAAGTGCCAGTTTTTCGTAAATGCCACTGACCTTCATTTGGATTTGCGTCTAGCCAGGTTTTGACTGTGTGCCAAAGGATAAGGAAAGGAAGGCGATGGTGAACGTTTGTTCTCACCAGTTGTAAGGTAAGCCTGAAGGGTTCCGCCATCATAGAGTGACTACAAAACGGTGAGTAATGCATGACCAACACAACATGTACGGTACCTACGCAGCTTGTGTGGCAAAGGTGAATGACTCCGCTCGAGTTATGGGCTTGCATTTGCAGCATTCGAATCCCATCATTCAGCTGTTGTGTAACTGACAGGGGTCATTGAAAATTAGTCCGAGGTTTGGCCCATTGAAAGAACTGTATGCTCTCACTGTTGTAGTCCTGGTTCGTGAACACTTAAGGAGATGAATTGAATAAGTGTCTGCATGCATGCACAGAGACGTTTGGAGCTCACGATTGTTGATGCCGACCGCATACGAATCATGGGCACCGACAAAGGTAACGTTTCCAAAACTACGGTTGCACAGATCAGGGCTGCCATTGCAAATCGTGGCTCGGCGAATTGGCGCCGATTCGGTGGGCGAAGCATAAACAAAGTCAAAAATGGGTGACAGCATTGCAAATGCAAATAGAGCGGCCTGCGCCCTGGGGAAAGAAGACAGTAACATCCTTAACAGAAGGACGATGTTTTGAAGTGACTAAAGGAGTTTTGAAACCAAAAAAGAAGAATGGGATACTGAAGGGGGCGGCCAGCCAGCCAGCATCGCTATAACCACGGTATTCCCGCGGCGCATGAAATAAAATTCAATCGCACTGTAACACATGGTGAGATGGCCGAGCGGTCTAAGGCGCCAGACTAAGGATCAGCTCATTAGATGAGCATGTTATCTGGTCCTCCGGGGCGTGGGTTCGAATCCCACTCTCATCACTACTTTTGCTGCATGCCGCAATGATTTTTTGGAGTGCGAATCTTCCACACGGCTGTATATAACTTATGTACATTTGAGCACATGAGATACTGCGAAAGTAATATTAGAAGGTGGGGGTAATGATTGTAATAATACACAGTGCTGATTCAGAAACAAGAATGTAGCCAATTAATTTTCCAACAAAGAGATAGCTCAATCAAGCCAAAGTTTCTGTGATACTAAAATGAACATGGTCTCCTTCGCCTAGGGTGAGCCTAACTGGAAGACGAGGATCAATGCGCACAGGAGCGCTCGTTCCAACGAAAAAGTCCCCACGACTGAAATTCCTGGTGATGGCGGCTGCTTCTTCCTCTGTGAGATTACGCGGCCGCTTGTTAGGGCGAAAGGTAGATGAAGAGGCGCCAGTAAATGCGCCATTATAATCATAATATTGGTGCTGACTGAGAGTAGGTGCTCCATGGACAAATCCCAGGGGTGCTTGAGCAAATGTAGTCACACCGGGAGCTGAGAGATTACAAGATCGTGAATAGGTACACTACGTTTCAGCGGAGTCAAAATAATTACTTTGATGAGACTGATTTTGATCACTTTCGGGATCTGGGTATGCGCATGTTGCGCCAATACCTCGTTTTAAGCAGCTCTAATAGGAGGTGTGTAGTCAATATAATCGAAGCGACGAATCTGTATGTTTGAGATCTGGACTAACCTGGCACGGTAATACCTCGCTGCAACGAGTTTTACCGGTATGACATGCAGTACATGCACGCCTTACTGAAGGAGCTTTTGCTGAAGGTGGTTTACATGACTTTTAATGATTAATGATCATGGCGCGTAGCTCACCTTTACGGGTTGCTGTGGGATCGTTGACTGGCGATGGACCATTGGGAGAATGCTGTTGTTGTTGTTGCTGCTGCTGCTGCTGGGCATCGGCAGCATGTTGATGAAGTTGATGAAGTTGCTGTGCGTCCATGGCCGACGCCGCGTCATGCGCCGGTGTAGATGCCTCACTAAGAGCCGACATGGGTGTAGCGGAGCGGGGAGGTTCCGACGATGTTCGGTGAAGCGGGAATATAAGTAATTCATCGGAGCGGATATACCTATTTAGTCCATATTTATCTCCATTTATTCGTGTTTGTACTTCCGGTAGCTCCCGCCATCCCGGCCAAGGGAGCGGTGCCGTGCCGTAACGCTACCGGCAATCGTTTCATTCCGGTCGGTAATGGTTCTTTGCCTGCACCACCATGTCATCCCAATCTCCGTCTCAACCACCCCCCTTCTCTGAATTTGAGTCTTATGCATTTGATCCCGCTCTTTTAGGATTGTCTCCTCCTCCTCTCCCCATCCCATCCTCCGCAGATCTCTTCTCCCCATCAGAAACAACTGATCTCCTCGGATTCCTCGATAACTTCAATTGGGATTTCGAAGTAGATCCTGCTTTCGCTGCCCCCTATATACCACAGAATATGGACAATTCGGGAGACACTGTGTCGCCTGTACCATCAGAGCAACAGATGCCATCAGATACATCCAATGAAAGACCTTCATCTTCCTCCTCCGCGACTTCATCATCTCTCTCAAAACCAGACTCCAGAGGTGCAAAGCGCAAGAGAGCTTCTGCATCGTCGTGCCAGACGGGAAAATCAAAAGTTCTCCTCTCAACCCCTCAGAAGAGACTCAATCACATCATGTCAGAGCAAAAGCGCCGTAATGCCATCCGTGAGGGCTACGCGCAGTTGATATCTCTGCTCGCCCCAGCTGGTGCACAGGCTATTGATATGCCAACTAGGGGTAGACCCAAGGGCAGCGGGAGCAGAGCAAAGGGTCAGAGCAAAGGCAAGAGTGGAGTGCTCTTTCGAGCAGTGGAGTACTGCCGGTGGCTTCAGGAAGGACGAGATGCTTTGAGGGATGAAGTACTTCGTCTGGAAGCTGCCGCGGGCATTATCTACCCATCTCGATAGTAATGGGCATGCACCTCCTTCATCAAGACACGTTTCCGGAACTGTAGTGAGTCCCCCCATCTACATGCGATACGCGCGCATCTCATCAGTCTTCCAGAATATAGGAATGTTCTTCTTTCTTGTCCACTGTCCAGTCCAGGGGCTACAGGACCCTGGCTGCTTCTGTAACGCACGCCCGCAAATTTCCAAAAATTCACTCCCGGCGTTACAGCAATCCATGCGCACCCTTGGTCGAAGTTTTCGACATATACCAAGAATTGTAATTTTTCTGTAATTTTACCATGCTCTTCGACGTACTGGCGTATCTAAAAATACCCGCGGTTTCTACTTCTCCAGGGACCGTGTATTGAACTACGAATTTTCTGTCCTGCTACCGTCTCATCTGTTTTCTACTTGTAGGAGTCAGTGTTTTTATAGTCTTGTATAACCATTTGCCTTTCAAAAGCCCTTGATTTCAGAGTATGATACCGGCCCTCGGCGGCGCCAAGCGCAGATATTCCGACATATATGATATCCGCCAGCGTCTACAATTGGTGATTTGTCGATTTGCTGAAGAACTAGAATATTTAGATCACTTGTCATCAGAATGATGCATGACTATCCCCATCTGAAAATGACGCCCCATTTTCCAATTTCTCGTATATAGTGCAACGGCAACGATACCACTGCTCTGCAGGATCGCAACCGTATAGTCAAGTTAGGCGACGAGACCAGAGACCAACGCAACACGCAAGGCCCTGGGCACGGGCGGAACCCTGAACAGCGGTCTTTACTGAATATATCCGTCATGCATCTAGCGTGTTTTCTCGGGGCCCTGCAGCCGATGGCAGGCAAGATTGGAAGGAAGGACGCCGCGAGGAACGTCATGATCTGCACGAACGTGCACCTCGGAGAGCCGGAGGAACTGAACGGGTTCGGGGCCTTGGATCCGCTCATCAAGGTTGAGCCGGTGTGGAGATGGAACTCAAGATTGGCCACGAGGTGTCTCTTACCTACTCACGCGTCCCCCCAGGTGAGTGTGTTTTGTGATCTGCCGACTGTGATGCTCTCTCAGGCTTACCCCCTTCGTGCACAGTGTGGATATTTTCGCATGTCAGGCCTCAGGGGCTATCTCATAAATTTCATGTGACCGCATTGCTCGCACGTACTGGAACCACTGGAGTCTGAACTTGGGGCCGACCATTAACAAGTCCATATGATACTACAAGTACACTTGCAAGAATAATCCAGGGCTCCCGATGCTCGGACGACTAACGAAAGCGTTGACAAGACAAATGAAACAAAGTACGCGCTCGCAACTCTTTTACAGGACACTCTTATGCCACTTGTCCTCAACACCATCAGCCATGGTCAAGTACGGCATTAAGTCGCTCGTCAAAAACTCGCTTGGCCATTGTTGCCTGACTTGATCCATGAGATACTTCGTAGCAATTTTCAAGTGGTTGTCCTTGATGCTCGGGGCGATCTTCTTGATACCAGGTGCCTGCTCTGCGATGATGCGGTCGATATACTGCGCAGTGATCTGCTCGCCAGTGTCAAGACGTGAACCGTACTTTACCCACTGCCAGAGCTGTACACGTGCGATCTCAGCAGTAGCAGCATCCTCCATCAAGTAGTTGACGGGGATACAGCCATTGCCGCCGATCCAAGCTCCGCAGTAGGCAAGAGCCACAGAGATATTAGAGCGGATGCCGTCCTCGGTGATCTTTCCGGGAACATTGGCGCTCAACAAGTCCGCGCTAGCGACTTTCACATCCTCACGTCGGATGTGATACTACAGCCCATGGATGGTCAGCAAGAGTGACAGATACAGAAATACCGTGGATGCGAACCTGGTTAGGACCCAGCATATTTTCGTCAAACACCTTGCGAGCGATCTGATTGATCAAGGGGTGCGCAATCCAAGTGCCATCGTGACCAGCCGTGACCTCACGGAGCTTGTCTGCTCGGACCTTCTCCATTGCCACCTCGTTGGCTTTGGGGTCATCCTTGATAGGAATTTGCGCAGACATGCCACCCATGGCAGCAACCTTCCTCCTAAAAACACGTGTGAACGCCTATGATCACGCGGGGAAAGTGGCATTACCTGTGGCAAGTTTGGATTAGAAGACGCACATACGCATCCATGAAAGGCACGGTCATAGTGACGTCCTTCCTGTCCGGTAACACGGCGCTTCTGTCCGCCCTGCGCTTCTTGATTGCACTAAATATGTAATCCCATCTAACAATATTCATGTGAGTGAGTAACCGATCCATTCACATCGAAGCATGAGTATTTTCCTCACCTTCCACAATTGAGTCCGGCAGAGTGGTTCCTGAGCTCGAAGAGGATTTCTTCCATTTGGAAGGCTGCGGGAAGCGTCTCGATGAGGAACAGTCGCTCTGATTGTGTTGTGGGGTATTCCAATGTAGGACTGGGAGAAGAGGAAGACGTCATTCCACAGACGAGCCTCAAGGTAGTGCTCCATCTTGGGAAGGTAGAAGTAGGGGCCTGAACCGCGCTTGATGAGCTCTTGGGCATTGTGGTAGAAGTAGAGTCCAAAGTCGAAGAGAGACCCCGAAACAGGGGTGTTGTCGACCGTCACGCGCGTCTCGTCCAAGTGCCAGCCCCTAGGTCTAGACAAAAATATAAACAACTAATGTAGAGCCAGAAGAGATCTCAAAAGTACCGAACAAGAAGGGCGGCTGGGTTCTCAGACAACTTGTATTGCTTCCCGCCGGACTCGAAGTCGATCTGGCGGTTAATAGCATCGCGCAAGTTGACCTGGCCATTAATCATGTTGGCGAATGTGGGAGCACTAGAGTCTAGAAAGACTATATCAGCGCAATTCTTAGCAGCACGAATGATCTACGGACCTTCGAAGTCTGCCATGAAGGTTCTTGCACCACTGTTCAGAGCATTGATGACCATCTTACGGTCAGTAGGACCAGTGATCTCAACGCGTCTGTCTTCAAGACCGGGTGCAGGGGGGGCGCAGTGCCACGAAGGCTCAGCACGGATGTGGGCAGTTTCAGGAGGAAAGTCGAGAGGTACTCCTGAG